AACGACAGACATTCCTATCCCTCGCGTTCCGGTGCGGAGATTGCACTGTGGGCAGGGGGCATGTCTGCGATGCTATTTACATAAATGGCACTGACATGGCCCCTCCCGCCCCAGAACGCGGTCCAGCTTCATGTATACAAAGTTTGCGTGCAGTTCGCGCCCAGTGCGTTCTGGGCGCGAACTGCACCGGGACGCACTGGATATGGTGTGACTGGGCCCTCAAAGGAGAATTACTGGGAGACTAAAATGTATTCTTCCCAATGGTTTGAGCTGGAGTGTGATACTGCAGCTGTCACATACTGGCTCTATAGATCAAGAGATGAGCGGTCTTCTCCCTGCACAGATCAGTGACTGTCAGTCAACACTGTGAAATGTACTCCTGTGACCCAAAAGAGAACTATAGCCAAAAAAAGTTTGGCTATAGTTTTCTTGTAATAAATTATGGCCAGGACTTTTTAAAGGGGTTATACTGGCAGAAAAGTGTCTCAAATGCTTTATTAAATGTCCCCTCCATAGGGGGGAATTTATCAAAACTGGAGCAGACAAAATCTGGAGCAGATTTGCACTGCAACCAATTAGCTTCTCTGCTTCAAATCTTATCTGAGCAAACTGAAGAGAGATTCTGATTGGTTGCTATGGGCAACTGCTCCAGATTCTGCCTGCTCCAGTATTGTGTTTTGGGGATTCCAAGTAATTTTACTAAGTTTAAAAAAAAAACCTCTGACAGCAAAACCTCTGTTTTGAAAAAGATCAGCAAAAATAATATACTCACCAGAAACATTCATTTATACAGACAGATGGTTTGTTTTAGGTCCAAAACAAAACTTAAAGAAGCAACTACTGAAGGATACATAACTTCTATGCCATGATTAGGTGGTATAGTTGGGAGTTGTAGTTCACAATCCGCCAAAGGGTGCTATTGGTAACATACTCGTCACTTCACCTTTAACTACATTTCCCATCAGCAACTTCTGCAGCTGTTCAGCCAATAGGCATGTAGGGGCGTGCCTGGAGGGAAGCGTGCAGGAAGTTCAGTGTACTGGCTGTGTAGACTGAGACATGATTTGAAGTAAGTAGAGCCGGGTGACATGTTGTGGCACTGACACAGGGACACATGTCTGTCACTTGTGATTGCTGGGACTCTGTGTAGCAAGGAGCTGTCAGTGGGTGAAAGTAAACTGCTAATCTAACATAAGTGTTGTTTGGTGTGTGGCTGTGACTTGAATGACATAGCCTTATGTAGGCTGTCATTGATTTGCATTGTGTGGGCAGTTGCAGCTAGTGATGAGCTGAACATATCTGGGTTTGGTTCTGGGGAAGTTTGACAACAAATGACAACTGAATCTCACTGAAGTCTCACCCCAATGTAAATGTCAGCACTTACCTTGCCAACTCCCCCCAATGTAAATGTCAGCACTTACCTTAAATGATGTCTCTTAATCCAATCTTCTTTCCTGATGTTTTCATCTGTCCCTCCAGCAGCGCGGCGGGTCTCCAATCCAGCGCTGACTCCTCTGTCCTTGCTGGCACTTCCTGTCCCACGGAGTCTGCATGCGGGTGCACGCGTCCATAGACTGGCTTTGCGTCTCTGCTCGTCTCCCGGACCAAAATCCGAAATGCGCATGCGCCCGCCCCAAGATGCTTTGCGGCCGCCTGAGGGGGGGCATGTGGAATGGATCAGTAGGGATGGGATAGTTAGGGAGAATCTATTGTTTAGAGCTTCCGTTATGATACAATCAGAGGATCAAGGAGTCCATATCAAAGGAGGGAGGATGGTAAGACTCAATCCATGGTTCCCATAATTTCCGGAATGACACCAAAGTATCCCTCTGGAGAGCCGTTAGCTTCTCGAAGAACATCACTCTCGATACTCTACGCTTAACCTCCGCAAATGGTATGTCGGGGGATCTCCAAGCTCTCGCAATCACCCTTTTGGCCTCTGTAAGTATAAATGTAACCAGGCGGTGTTGCCGAGCAGTACATACCGATGGTTTCTTATGTAATAAGGCTTCCAAGGGATCTTTGCAAAATGTCTTGCCTGTAACTGTGTACAACAGTTGGTATACTCTATGCCAAAATCTCCGCACTTTGGGGCAAGTCCACCAAATGTGATGAACCGATCCCTCCACCCAGCAACCCCTGAAACAATTTGGTGAATAGGACGGAATGGCTTTGGAGATCCTGAGGGGTACCAAATACCACCGAAGGAGCAACTTATAATTGGCTTCAATTGCTTGGACATTTGCTGAGCTGCGAGAGATTGTCATCCAAATTTGGAACCATGTTTCTGCAGGGATAGAACAACTCAGGTCTTGTTGCCATTTGGATGTGTATGTTGGGAGGGAAGTTTGTAGGGGTTCAAGTATCAGAGTGTACGGGGCTGAAATAGGTCCTGTCGTCTTAGTGTCGTTAATTAGGAATTCTTCAAATGGGGTAAGGGATGGAGGGGGGGATGACTTTTCTAATTGAGTTTGAATAAAGTGTTTAATTTGCAAAAACTGGAAGGTGTGTCGTGGAGTCAGTTGATGTTTGGCTTGGATTTCTGGAAACGTAATAATTCCCGTCCCCGAACAGAAATCTGTAAGTAAGCTTAGAGATTTGACACGCCAATGAGCATAAGCGGCTGGGTCAGTATAGCCTGGCTGGAACATTGGGTTACCATGGATGGACATCAGTGGTAAATGAGGGGACACCCAACCTAAGTGACGGCGCAATCCGTCCTATATTTTTAGAGTGTGTGTGAGAATTGGGTTTTTCAAGGACGTGCCTATTTTGGGGGGCAACCAGGGGAGATTGAGGAGGGCTACTGGGGAGCAAGCATAGGCTTCCAATGAGACCCACAGCGGCATTTCACCTTTCTGAAACCAACATGTCATTAAAATTGTATTTTAATGTCACCTTACCTTAGCCTGGTGGTCAGTGGGGCTCCCTGGAACCTGGTTGTGGGGCCCAGCAGCTCCATCCCTCTGCCGCCTTTCTGCACACTCCCGGCCAGTGGTGTAGCAAGGGGGGGGGGCGCCTGCCCTGGGCGCAGGGGCGGACTGGCCGCGCAGCCG